GTCTGGTAATTGTAGCACCAGCACATGGACTAGCCTGATCGCTGCACATGCGTCATTATTCAGTGTTTTCTCTAGCCAATTCAATCTTGCTTTTGAGCTCGGTCCACTGTTTTAGGAATCATGTACAATTCTACCTCTCTTTGAAGGGTAGACCCTGCATTTCATTCAGTGTTACCCCAATGTTTTTTTCTATGGACATTAATACATTATTTTTATGTATCAGCATGACTGAAATGGCAGTTTTTTTTTTTGTTTTTTTTTTTAACTTTTCATTGCAGTGTCGGATAAGGGCTTTACTGTTTGTTTTTTTTCCTCCCCCCCTCCTCCATTTTTCCTGAAAATGAATGTAGCTTGTGGAGAACTTGTTTCAGACCTGCTCATTGTAATTTGAGTAATTTGCACCTCATTTTGCACAGAATATTTCACAACCCATTTTTCATACCTAGATAGTTTTTGATAGAATATTAAATTCAGCAGTATCTAACTTGTCATAACATAATGAATAAGTTAGTTAAAAAAATATCTTGGATCAGGTGTCTAGGTTTAGTATGATTGTGCTTGCAAGAGGGTGTTTGGAGAGGGTTGTCATCTTGAGATAAGCAGTGATAAGCAAAAAATCTCGGCATTATGTATTGTTATTTGTCTTGACCACATGCTGGTGAAATCAGGAGGACGCAGCTGCGTTTAAGTGGCTTAGCCCTTTCACGGAGATCTGCACTGAAATTGCCCAGTTTGAGCATTCAGTGGTAATACTTAGCAAATGTGGCTCATGAATAATGAGTCAAGAGAAACTTGTGTGTAAAAGGGTAGAACAATGGCATGGCACTTCTAAGTAACAAAGAGGGTGCAATGTTGTTGTGGGCTCTCTTAACATAGTGTAAAAAGACAACAGCAACATTTTGACAAATGAGCTATTGCACGTGTGCAATAAATGCATAGAGACTTTTGATTTTAACTGGGGTTCTGTATGGAAGATACACTCAAATACTGGCTTCTAAAATTAAATTCTTTGATACAGTGGCGCAGCAGGTACTGTTGCCACCTCATAGCTCCAGGGTCCCTGGTTTAATCCTGAGCTCGGGTTAATATCTGTGTGGAGTTTTGTGTGTGTGTGTGTTTTGTTTTGTTTTGTTTTGTTTTTTCCTTTTCCTTCTTCTTCTTCTTCCCTGTGTCAGTTTCCTCCCACCTCCCAAAACATGACAGTAGATGAATTGGCTAAATTGCCCCTGCAATAACATTGACTGAAGATGAATGAATGAGTAAGTACAGCAACGCAGTAGGATTAAATAATCTGAAAGTAAGGTTTGTTTGTTTTTGTCCCATACTGATATCTGAAGAAACCCTGACTGAATTCAGGTAGTTATTAAACATTTTGCAAAAAGTCAGGATGTCCCACTTTCATTGTAACAATGTTAGACTCATCATGATTACATCTTACTGCAACTGTTATGTAAAGGCCCATTCATTCTAAAAGAGTTTTGATATATTTTCTGTAGTCTAGGTAATCATGGCATTTGTCTTGGTCATTTAACAGAACGGTGTATGTTTGGACCTACTTACAGCAGGTAGTGTTGCTGCCTCACAGCTCCAGGGTCAACCATTTGACCCTGAGCTCAGGTTACAGTCTGTGTGGAGTTTTTGTGCATGTTCTAAAATGAAGGTTCCCAACCCTGGTCTTGGAGTACCTCCTGGCCTGCACACCATTTTTGTGGTCAGACCAAAGTTGAGTGTATGAAACTATATGCACTCTGAGAAATAAAAGTACCAAACTACTTTTCCTTGTCGCTCGGGTTTTACCATCAAGGGTGTGTGTTTTGCACCTTTTACGTTTGTACACCTATGTATAATTTACCTAGAAATGTGCAAGTGGTGTGATTAGCTTCTTGAAGCAGTGGTCTTTAAGATCCATTTATGTAGGTAAATATATACATAGTAAAGTACAAAACATGTTACCTTCATGGTACAAGGAAAAGTACAGTTTGGTACCTTTAATTCTGAGTGTGTGTGTATGTATATTCACACACTTATGTGCCATTTTAATAGGAATACCTGTTTATTCATGTAGTAACCCAGTCAGCCAAACATGTGGCTTATTGAATAACTGCATGAATGATCAAGTGTACAGGTATTTATTTCTCTTAAAGTACCTGGTGATTGAATGTATGTTAGCTTTTTCAACAAAATGTATTATATTTTAACATAAACATGTTATATTTTACCTACCTGAGGAAAGGCTTATAAAAAAGTTGACTTCAGTAGTGCTCTCTCTTTAAGCAATCTAAGTCTCTAAGATGTATATTTGTGTGTTATTCTTTAAACAGTACCAAGCAGTAACTTTAATTCAAGCAATACAAATATTAAAGAGATAATGAACCATGAGTAAAAGGAGAAAACTTAACTTCAGAAAGGAAAACAGTCCCGTCTGGCAACAACGAGTGTATCAGTCTGCGTCCTGCCGGATTACAAACCACCAAGTTAGGCTCACAACAAAAACGTAAAACATTGGGTTAGGGGGGAGTGGGAATGTTGTGTAGCGTGATTTGCTAGTAGGCGTTCTTTGTAGTGGGCGTTCTTTGTAGTGGGCGTGGTTTGTAGTCTTGCAGGACGCAGACAGACCCTTCTCGGCAACACGGCAGAAACTGGTCTCCAGCCCAACTGGGGGCAGTAATGCACCATGACTCTGCTTAACAACCGTCGCTAAGAACAACAGAGAAAGAATTGGAGGCCTCTTCAATTTTTTTTTTTAAAGCTTTTTTCTGACATTGAATTACAGGTTAATCGCTGAGAAGAAGGTTAGATCGTATTGACTGTACGAGCGGCTCGATGTCTAAAGACAGTCGGCACGATGGGCGTCGGCGCGGCGGCGCTCAGCACCGGGCCGGCCAGAGAGCGGCTCCGAGCGGGGACGCCAGAGAGAGATCCGGCAGTAACAGCTCGGGCTCCTCACACGGAGGAGGTAAAGGCAGGAGCACCTCCATCAACGCTGCCCTAAAGGTAACGCTGGCACCACTTGCCCTCTTAGCTAGCTGCGAGCGTCTGGATGAACCACAAGACGTGGGCTTGGGCTGACCTTACACTAGCTAGCTGTTTAAGTTAACTCTACACGTTCAGAAAGTTGAGAAATTTTAGCTTAGTTAGGCGAACACAGTGTGAATGCCATTACTTAATTAACTACAGAGTGAACTTGCCAGGTGTTTATCTAGCATTTGTGTATATACAGCTTTATTCTCATCCCAGTCAAGAGCTTTGTGATTGTATTGGGCTTGTGTGAATGTGGTTTGTGGTCATCTCCAGTAATAATGGTATCAGGAATCCTGGAAGATCCACTTAGTCACTAGTTTATCGGGTACGCCTGCCTTGTAGTTTATCAGGTGTAATGCCTTGTAGTTTATCAGGTGTAATGCCTTGTAGTTTATCGGGTGTAATGCCTTGTAGTTTATCGGGTGTAATGCCTTGTAGTTTATCGGGTGCGCTTGCCTTGTAGTTTATCGGGTGCGCTTGCCTTGTAGTTGTGGAAAAAGATGTAATTGCATAAGTATTCACCCCTCTTTACTTGGAAACCCCCAGATTAGCTCTGGTGCAACCAGTTACCATCCAGTTCGCATAATTAGTTGACTGGAGTTTACCTGTGTGCAAATAAAGAGTAACATGAGCTCAATATAAATACGCCTGTGCCTGGAAGAACCCAGAGTTTGTTAGAAAACATACCTAAACAAACATCATGAAGAATAAGGAGCTGTCAAAACAAGTCTAGGACAAAGTTCTAAAGAAGTGTCAATCAGGTTTGGTTATTAAAAAATACCCCAAACATCACACAGAGCACAATAAAATGGAAGGAATATGACACAATCATGACTCTGCCTAGATAAGGCTGTCCACCAACATCAGTGACTGCGTAAGGAAAACATTAGTCTGAGAAACAACCAAGAGGACAAGGGTAACTCTCATCACCACGTTTCTACCAGCAAGCTTAACTTTTTACAAACTATATAGACTTTCCCCTGCTTCAGTATTATGGGATATTTTGTGTTGAATCATGACCTATAGTCTCAATTACATCCATTTCAGTTTCAGGCTATAACACTATGAAATGTGGAAGAGTTTAAGGGGGGTACATACTTGTGCCAGACACTGTACTTTGAAGTTGCATGGTATTGTGTGGTGGTGGTGCAAGTGTATTAAGACTGTAGCTCATTTGTTTTCCTGAACAATGTGTGTTAATTTTCCTCGATCCCTTTGTCAGTGTCAGTTTCTGACCACAGCAACTCTGATGATTGGATGTTGTGTACTGAGGTGTTTGGTAGCTCCAGCAACAGTGTTGTGCCCAATACACTGTCCCACTGTAATAGCTGTTGCCATGTTAGTCACTTAGAGAGCAGAGTAGAGAAAGCATATTAGAACAGTGCTTAAGGCTAGTAATTTAATGATTTGTTTTTCTGTACTCTACTACTGTTCTGATTGTGCACATATTGACTAGAACAGGAACTGATGATTTGTATAGCGTTATATCGTGTCAGAAATGGAATCACTTTACAGGTAACTTGGATATGATGATATGATTCATATTATTATGAATTACAAGCAAATAAAAGCCATATTTGAACGGATTAAATTTACACAAGGACCTGGAGTTCCATCATTCCATTATTTCCAGGTGTTAGTCTGTGATACCATGTTGTTTTTCTTCTCCCTTGTCCCCCAGAAATTTGCAGACCAAATTATGTACTTTTTTTTGATGAACATTGTGGTGGTCTGATCATTTTATTCCTATCTGGACAGTCACCATTGTAGACAGAAGCTATATTTGGAAAAAAAAAAAGACTGCTGTATTTAGTTGTCTAGTGACACATGAATGTTAATTTCTTAATTTGAGAAATCGGAAGGGTATAATCTCAGGTTAAAGGAGCTGTTCGCTTCCTTGTAGCTGATAGCTGCAAAAGAAATAGAATTTATTTCTAAATAAATTTCTAAAGATTACACAAATGAGTCAATAATCAGGGTCCCTGGAGGACTAGTGGTTAGGCTACAGAGCTCTCACCGCTGCAGCCTGGGTGCGATTCCCAGCCAGGGAACCAACCCGGCCCCTGGGGTTGCGTTCAACAGTGCGCTCTCAGTGCCAGTCCCAAGTCTGGATAAAATTGGGGAGGGTTGCTTCGGGAAGGGCATCTGGCGTAAAAGAAATTGTGCCAAATGAAATACGCGGACCAATGTCCCCTAACGGGAGCAGCCGAAGGAGGAACGTATGACATATGAACATGTGTGTTTGTCATATGAAAATCTGAGTTTGTAGGAAAAATAACCTTGCTGAAACTCGCTTGTCCTACATTTCATCTCAGTGGAGACTTAAAAAATGTTACTACAGACATCACCCAGTGAAAGTAATCCCGTACAGATAGAGCGTAAAATAATTTTATTTACAGACTTACTGTCTCTTTCTTATTACCTGCATCAGCTCGACTATAATGGGGTCCGCTGCATTACCCCCAGAGCTGTCAGGTGGACTCCTAGTTATACTCTAATTATTTCATTTTTTTTTTAAAATTTTAATCACTTGACAGTTAAACTCTTTCAGTGGAGGTTTAGAAATAGTAGCTGTTTTTAAAATATGAAGCTGCACATAGTTTGGTGTTCCTCCACACAAGCATCAATTTAGATGAATAAACTGTGGCAACATTTTAGATAAATATAAATACTTTGCTATTTGTGGTATTTAAAATATTAAAGGTCAATATTCATTATTTCTAGGAGAATTTGTTTTTGCACTAGAAGGGCTGCCTGAGCCTTATGCCTAGCCTCACTAAAGACCAAACTTTCAAAAGTGCCGAATTGCTGTACTGCTCACACTGCACAACCTTTATCACTTCTGTTGTTAAAGATTGCGATTGCTTTTTTTCATGCCCGCTTGTCTATTGCCCTCCATCTTCCAGTGGCGTCACTGTGGTTCACCTTGTGTCAGCATGGCTTTGTTTACATGCCCCTGTTCGGCATGAGTCATGTGCTGCTAAGTCCAGTTAGATGTAGAGTGTGTGCGCGTGCGCTTGTGTGCACGTGTGTGTTCCTGGCACATTGACACACATAGACTGAGCCCTCCAGCAGCGAGTGGGCCGATGTGTCATGTACACATGACTGCATGCAGAGAGATGAGAGTGAGAGGAAGAGAGCAAGCAAGCTTTCTGTTTTTCTGCTGTTTGAACAGGCACTGTGAAGCAGAGAGAGAGAGAGAGAGAGAGAGATAATTTAACAGAACAGCAGATGACAGCAGAGAGGCAGTTTGCAGCAGTAGCGGCTGCGGCGTCGGTCTGGCAGGGACAGTGCGCGCTCAGCATGGCAAAAGCGCAGTATTTATAGGCTCAGCTCTGATTAGCAGAGGAGCATGCAGTACCCTCTACTATCCTGATTGGTGGAGAAGCTGACATAGCCAGCTGAGCGGCTATTTTGGTCCTGCTGTCAAATGACGATGTCACCCTGCGTGTGCAGCGGCTACGATGCCAGCTAGGGGCAAGCGGGTCATGTGAAGTTTGCAGCAAAAGTATGTCAGTGCCGAATGAGGACAAAGAACCTGCTTACAGACTCTACTTCTACTCTGTATGTACCTTCAGATCTTGTTTCTCGCTGTCCTTTTCTCTTTCTGTCCTGCTCTGCATGCCTCCGTGCTTAGACCTGCTTATAGACACGAAACCTTATCCCTGCTGCCTCTGTGACCACTCAGTTGACTGCCTTGCTGTGTGTGTGCGTAGAGGCTTTTAACAAGTGGCACCCACTTCCTTACGGGGGTCATGTTATTTTATAGTGGAGAACTTGTGCATGTAAAAATGGAAATTGCTGCCACGTGCACGAATAACATGACAATCTAGGCAATATTTTTGTTTGTTATATGGCAAGTAATTGTTTTAGGCATCTGCTCAAAACAATTAGATCAACGGCTGTATGCTTATGTAACATAACTGGCAAAAGCCTGAACAAGAAAAATAGCTGCATGATGAATCATATTGTAATAACTTGGCTTGTGCGGTATTGATTTTTACCTGCTTGTGATCTACAGTTTTAAATAATTTGCATAAACTGTTTAATCATCCAGAACCGATAGCCTAAAAAAAAAAAAAGAGAAAAACAAGTACTTCTGCAATTTGAGGTTTAATAAGAGTAGGAGAGAGTGTTATGAGCAGCCGTGCAGTCAGGAACTGTTTACCGGCAGTGGCAATTGTGAAAACTCACCTGGGTGGGGGATTTTTAGCTGATAAGGTGCAGTAATGCACAGTAAACAGTAGCAAAACCTATAACAATTTCAATATACTCCTTTTAAAAATCGCTTGTCTGATATCGACATGGCTGACATTTTCACCCATTTGATGCTGCTGCTTAAAGTGTTTGAATGCACCTGAGCACTGACCAGTACAGAAGAGCAAAAAAACCCCCAATAAAACAGTATTTAATCACTTTCTAATTATCATCACCATTATCATCATTTGTCAAGTGTTAGGTCTGAGAATTTGTTGTAATATCTAATCTTCATTCTTTTTTTCAATCTTTTGCCTGAAAAATGATTATTGGTTTCCCCAATTAATTAACCTTATACCACACTGCTGTTGAATTCTCAAATCTAATTGGTCAGAAGGTCTTAATTAATTTTCTATAACATCATGGCTCTGCTGTCAACACGACCGACTGTAATTTGAATCATGTACATTTATGCACTGATCAGCCATAACATTAAAACCACTGACGGGTAAAGTGAATAACATTATCTTGTTACAGTGGCACCTGTCAATCAATGGGATATATTAGGCAGGAAGTGAAGTTCTCAAAGTTGATGTGTTGGAAGAAGGAAAAATGGGCAAGCGTGAGGATCTGAGCGACTTTGACAAGGGCCAAATTGTGGTGTTCCCAGTATGCAGTGGTTAGTACTTACTAAAAGTGGTCCAAGGAAGGACAACCACTGAACCAGCAACAGGGTCATGGGTGCCCAAGGCTCAATTTTTGCGCATGGGGAGCGAGGGCTAGCCCGTCTGATCCGATCCCACAGAAGTGCTACTGTAGCACAAATTGCTGAGAAATTTAATGCTGGCTATGATTGAAAGTTGTTAGGACACAGTGTATCGCAGCTTGCTGTGTATGGGGCTGTGTAACCACAGACCGGTCAGAGTGCCCATGCTGACCCCTTTACACCGCTGAAAGCACCTACAACGGGCAGGTGAGCATCAGAACTGGACCATGGAGCAATGGAAGAAGGTGTCCTGGTCTGATGAATCACGTTTTCTTTTACATCATGTGGATGGCTGGGTGTGTGCATCTCTTACCTGGGGAAGACATGGCACCAGGATTATTTTCCTGTTCTAGCACACCCCATTGTTTTTTATTCTTTACTAGAGATGGCACCGATTTGATACCCAGTATCCATATCGTGTTGATACCAGCAAAAGAATTTGCAATGTAAGTGATTTTTGTGTGAAAGAGTTTGACTGTGAAGTGATTCACTTTATAAAAAAAATATTTTAAAGCTTTGTAGTTTTTAAAGACAACAGTATTAAATGGGTATCGGCTGATACTCAAGGTTTCAGTATTGGAAAAGAAAAAGAGGTATTGTGCCATCTCTAATCCTTATATAATCAGCTGAGAAATTGCTGAAATAACAAACGTGTCTGTGTGTGAGATTAAAGCGTAACTGTTAATTGGACAGATGTGAAGCCGATTTGACATCAGGCACAGCTGGAATTCAAACTGACACACGTTCTGTCAGTGTATTTTTAAGCAGGACATTTTTTACATAAATTGAATAGAATAGAATAGTAGTAAGTCCTAAATTCTCACTGACTGGTGTTGGCGTTTATTGGCTCTGCTGCAATTAATCGCATATGAAGGTTCCTGCCTCATATAGATTATGTTATAACAAGTCATACAAGTTAACATTCCTATATTTTACAAAACATTTAACATGGATGAAGCAGTTTTATTTAGCTTGAAGGAATATAGACATGTAATATAGTCTACAATAAAAAAAAATGAAAAGCATGTTTTCTGATTATTTCAAATAATGTGCAATAAATCTTCCCAAAATGGTTAAAATATTGTTATGAATCAATACTGAGTAAAATAATTGTGATTATTTCAGCCATTTTAACCATTATCCTGCAGTCCTAGCAGCTGCCCTGTGATGTCTGCCAAAATTCAGGAAACCATAACTAAATATTTACTGTTGACCAGCGTCCCTCTCCGCACAACATCGCTTCCTGTGCATTTCCAAATCATTTACATTTTTTTTGTTTGTTGTGCTGCTCTGATAGGATAGTGAGAGGGAGAGAAGGCAGGAACAGAGCTTGGAATGAAGATGATGCTTTGCTGCTCTAAAGTAGGTCAGTTGTATATGTATGCCCAGGGACATCCAGATTGTAGCAGGCCGGTGACTGTGTGCTCTTTCTGTGTGTGTGTGTGTGTGTGTGTGTGTGTGTGTGTGAAACCTAATGAATCTATAAGCAGATACATGTTGTTGTTTTTTTAAGTATACAACCAGTGGACTGGTTTTCATTGAAGAATTTCAGCTGAGGACGTCTTATTAGGTGTATTATTAAGCAGGGTGGTTGTTTGCTTGATTGCTGGTTGCCAGCTGCTGTAAAGAGGAGAATGAGACATTATTCTAGCATAATGCTGTGTTATGTAAAGCTTATGACTGACAGAATCATTGTGTGATCCAGTCACGACATCAAAGCTCATACAGTAGATGAGTCACTTTTCAGCATGCATTATACACTGTCATACCAGAGCACTGTTTATTTCTTAAATCTGATTGGGCGAAAGGTGTTGATTACTTTTCTAACAGCACGGCTCTGATAGTAGTGCTTTACAGTAATGTTTATATTAATGTGCTCATCCTAATACATTATTGCTTCTATAGTAACAGCTGTTTCACAGGGATGTGTATGGTGGATGCTCCATATAATCGAATTATAATAATTATAATAAAAGTGTTATTCAACAAAGTAAAATGTATGGTTCTTGATGTGGTGAAGTTATGGGAATGTTTATGGGTGTCAGTGATTTGTCATGGTCAGTAGGGGTGGGCGATATGACAAAAGCA